AGCAAAATGTGTTACAACAAAAGCTGAGGAAGCTTCCCGCCTTACAGGATGCGGCGCCATGGGGTAACTGGCTGGCGGCGCCCCTCCCGGGACTGCGCGGCAGCACGTGCGGGCCCATCCCCGCCTCCCCCAAAAGCCTGGAGGCATGGCCCATGCTAGCTCGCCCTCCCCACCCTCCATACCTTCCCCACCCCCAGCCTTGGTCGCCCGCGCCCAAGGGACTCGCGGCCGCTGGGCCCCTCACGGACAGTCTGTAAAGCGGGCTCCAAAGGAGAGAGGCCAGCGGCCCCGTTCCAACCAGCCCAGTCCTTAGTGCCCTCCTCCAGGCGACCCGAGCGAAGCACGCGGGAATGCACCCGACCGCCCGCAGGCGGAGGCTCCTGGCTGCGCGCAATGCTTACCCGGCCCGGTCCGGCTCCCAGCCCGGTTATTGTCTGCTGCGCCGCCCTGGCCGCGGCTGGATCCTCGGCTGCCGCGGCCGAGAGCGCCGCCACCGCTGCTCCTGGCGCCGCCGCCGCGGCTCCAGTCACCTCCTGCACTGACTCCCCTTCCCCAGGCTTTGGGCAGCTCCCCCATACCCCCTCCCCACCGGACTCCACGGCCACAGGGTGGGGCGTCATTGCTTTGATTGGCGGGCGTATGACCCAATCGCTATGGTGGAAAGGCGTGCCCGGACTGCCCACTGTTTTCCTTGGTGCGTTTCTCTTTAAATGCAAATAAGCGCGGGCGTGGTGTTGGCAGGAGGCGGAGAGGGTGCGGAAACCCTTTCTGGGGCTCCCCGCTCCCGCCCCCACGCCAGGCGGGTTGCGGCGTGGCTACACCGCTGGCTGGATGGGCCGGTCCCTCCCGGATGGAGTTCGCTGGATCCCTGGAGTTCGGTTTCGGTTTTGTACGCGCTCCCATTTTCGTGGCCGCCTGCATTCATTTTTCTGTGCCCTGGCTGCCACCCCGCCGTTCATCCCAGAGCTCTAGCTGGTAGAGAGTTTGGGTGGGTGGGGTCTAGAAGACTTCACAGCCCCTTGGCACCTTGGCTTGCCTATCCTTAGGCGTAGAGACAAGGCCCTGTGGCTCGCACTCCCAGACCACCCAGAGGAGGCACTCACCTGCTAGGCAAGCCAGCTGCAGCTCCCGTGCCCCAGCTTCATTGGTCTCTGTTGCACCCCAGGGCCCTTAGGGAGACTGAGGTCGACTTCCACCCGTTACGGACAAGCCGGCTACTGTCCTGAGAAAGGAAGGAATTTCCCCAAGGTTCCCCAGCCTGTCCTAGACAGGGGCAGATTTGGATTACAGAGCCCCAAACTTCCCACTCAGGGCTGCTTTAACTTTTCTTCTATGGGGAGATGTTTCCCCGTCTTGCACAGAGCCTTCTGGAGATCCACAAGGTCTCCAGAGACCCTTCTCGCTCCCCTTTAACTGTGAGCCTGACTGTCTACAGGTCCCTGTCCCTGGAAAGTCTAGATGTTGAGAGAAAAATCTTGTCGGGGCCCAGACAGGAGGTTGTGCTGAAGACACAGGGAGTAGGCCTGTAGCAGCCTTGCCCTCCTCTCTGAGATGTGGCAGGGGGCCAGCCCAGCTTGGGTCTCTAGCCTGAGGACATTAAGTGGCATTAGTGGCTGCCAGGGCCAGGTGAGCTGAGGCAACAAAGAATCCAGTTCTACCACTAGCTCAAGAATATCCAGAAGGCCCTGCCCTAAAACTGTGAAAGTCTCAAAAGGCAGGAGGGTGGGTTAAGGCTGAGGAGAGGGGGAAGGATTAGAGAACAATGCATGCCAGTTTTGTATTGCAGGAGTGTTCTGTGCTGCTCCACGGGGTCCTGTCTGCCTTGAAAAGATCCAGCTGCTGAACTGGTGAGCGTTGCCCTGCTGCCTCTGCTTGTGTGGGAAACTGGAAGGGGCATGGCTGCTGGGGCTGGAATCTGGCTTCAGCTCTGCCTCCGACTCATGAGATTTTGACCAATCCATTTTCCTTTCTCAGCCACTCCATCTCTGTAAGAAGGAGGTAAGACTCATTGGCTCCCTTGATCTCTCTGAGATTTGACAGTTCAACTCAACTCTTTCTACAGTATTCTGTGACCTTCCATGACCTTCCAGGACATTCTGTACATCTTCAATAAAGATCAAGATCGAATATCAGAACCCTCCCAATCCTAGTTCCAGATCTGAATCAGTGGTGGGGAATGGGAAATTGCTGCTGTCTCATTATGCAACTGTGTTAAGTAAATCCCTTCTGCCTAGCCTCAGTTTCCCCATCTGGATGGCTGGATTGTGACATTCCCCTGAAGCTGTGCTTTCATGCTTTGCAGAATGCTATCTTGTCCATTGGGCTTGATCAGGAAGTTTCTTTCCTTTTACAGCGCCTCCTTCATAGACTTCCCCAATGCCTCCTGGCTCTGGTCACTCACCACCTGCTCACATTTCACTCAGAACTTTGATTCTCTCTGAAGTAGGCCAAGATTATGATTTGAAGAAAGCAGTTTCCAAATCTGGAGCCCAGGGGAACGAAGAGCCAGGGCAGCCTCAGCTGTGAGAACAGGAAGAAGGGAGGTGTGCAAAGTAGTCAGGTGGCAGCCTTGAAATAACCCAGGACACTATTGTGCTGCTCCTCTGTCACTGGAGACCGTCCTTCATGCCCTCTGCCTCGCCACCAAACATTCTGCTATGTCAGTCAGCTTTGGGAGTGACAGATTTTGGGCTGAACCCAAAAGGAGCAGAGCTTCAGGGGAAAATAAGAGTCTTTGAAATGCTAAGAAGGCTTCCTAACTGGGCCTTTTATTGTGGTCCTGATATTCCTGAGCCTTGAGGGGAGATTATATGTGTGCATAGGGCAAAGGAGAGCCTTTGGTCCACTCCTCCCCAGAGCCTTTGGTCCAATCACCCCAGGGGTGATTACGGAAAGACCAAGTGTGTCCATAAACTTTTACCCCAAAATGCCTCCTCTCAGAGGGACCCCGCTGAGGCCCCATCCTTCATGCTGACTGGCAGGAGATCAACTTGTTTGGTTAAGACATGAGCTGGTGGTGGACCGAAGGAATTCATTCTTAAGCTTTTTTACCTGCCAAATGGAGATTAAGCCCCTTCTGCCCAGCGTCTTGTGGCTACAGTGAAAAGCCCATGAAGACAGACAAGCAGGCTATGTGGAGGCAATTTCATAAACTGGAGGCTGAATGATGACAATGTCCGTTTCTGTCTTTGATACGTGCTCCATGGGCACCTCCTCTATGCTAGGCCTGGTAACAGATACTGGGAGGAAGCAGCACAGTAGTAACCTTCTGGGGGGACCTGGGGATGAGGTTCTGAGAGGAGCTGAAAGTGAGACTGTTGGTCTACCAGGGTGGGAAGAGGCATCTGAGGAAAGCTCCACGGAGGATAGCCTTGATGACTGAGTCAAGGCAGAAAAGTAAAGAAAGCTTTCCTGCTGAGGCCAAAGTCCATTATTGTGAAAGGGTATGGTGGGTTGGGCAAGAGCTAGGATTCTTGAGGGCTACAGCTGAGAATTTCTGTAGGGCAGAAAGATAGACCTGGAAATGAGCCTACCGAGAAAGGGCCAAAGTGCAAAAGACCATGACTTCTGGGGTAAACCGAGGCTCAGCTAGTTAAGTGTGTTCTTGCTAATGAAGCAGCACAGTATAGTGGCTCTGCCTGGGCTGAGATGCCACTCAGAAGCAATGTGATGTGGACAGGTTAATTTACCTCTCTGAGTCTCAGCGTTCACTTCTACAAAGTGAGGGTAATAACAGTCCCCAGGTCACAGGATTGTGGTAAGAATTGAGTATTTCATGTAAAGTGGCACAGGACTTGGTCCATACAAAGCTCTCAGTAAGTGCTAGCTGCTGCTGTTAACTGCCATTACTACAACCGCTACAACCGCTGCTCCAATGTACAGATATTCAAAATTATAGAGTTCATTATATGACTTGGAAACCACTTTTAATAGAAGCACATTTGAGTCTGTGATTCCTTGTGCATAGATTCCTTTTGCTTGTGCAGTCGCAGGCGAGTTTCCCAGAATCTCTTGTTCCTCTTTGTAGCTCAGCACCCATCAGAAACTGTAGCACAGACTCAGTACTGAGTAGAAGTTTGCTGACCATCACCAGGTGAGGCATTTTCAGGCCTGATATTAAGCTTAGTTGCCAATATCCATCAGTGTAGTATAACATTGCTATTTGCTGAGTACCTCCTCTGTACCAGGCTGCATCCATCACCTAGAATGGTGAACTAGACACAAATTCTGCTCTCAAGGGCAACCAGTCTAGTGCAGGAGGAACACAACTCATGAACCAATACCCTGCAATTTCTCACTCAGACAAGGGACTGCTAGATGGTGTTGCCATTCGCTGAACCAGGAAATCTAGAAACAGGATGAGGAAAACATAATGCTCCTGTTTAGAACATTCCATGTTTGACATGTCAGAAATCCCACATCCAGGCCTTTGCATTTGCTGTTCCCTGTGCCCACTATGTTTGTCCTCTGAATATCAGCATGGGTTTCACTTCACTTCCTTCAGATCTCTGCTCAAATGTCACTAATAGTAAGCCCTTCCCATGCTATATGAGGTACTTCAAAAACATTCATGGATAAATGGAATTAAAAGCATGAGCTTATTTTAGTGCCTTTTTTCATGATAAAGGGAAGTGTAAATTATGAAAAAAACTATCATGTATTTAAAATTTTTATACCAAAATAAACTCATCCTTTTAATTTACTTTTTCTTTGAACTTTTTTGAAGTACTGTCATGTAATATAGCAGTTCTCATTCCTACATCCTTTATTTTCCAATCCTTAATTAGTCTTTTCTTTTTTTGAAATTTATTTTACTTGAAAGGCAGAGTTAGAGAGAGGTCTCCCATCTGCTGGTTCACTCCCCAAATGGCTGCAACAGCCAGGGCTGGGCCAGGCTGCAGCCAGGAGCCAGGAGCTAGGAGCTTCATCAGGATTTTCCACATGGGTGCAGGGGCCCAAGGAGTTGGACCGTTTTTCTGCTGCTTTCTCAGGCACATTAGCAGGAAGCTGGAATGTAAATGGAGCCTCCAGAACCCAAACTGGTGCCCATGTGGGATGCCGGCATTGCAAATGGCAGAATAACTTGCTGTGCCACAATGCCAGTCCCATCCTTTTTTCTCATTCCTAGCATTTACCACCTCCTGGCATATTATTTCTTATTGTTATTTATTCATTTGTATTCTCATTTTTTATTGTTTCTTGCCATGATAATGGATGCTCTGTGAGGGCTGATAGACAAAGAACAAAGTGCATATGAAAATTGTACAATATGTGAGAGAGCAATAAATGTGAGGGAGAGAGAGAGAGCAGGGAAGGAGTACAGGGAGTACTGATGGAGGAGGTGCTGTTTTAAACAGGGAGGTTGGGATAGGCTTCATTGAGAAGGTGATATTCAATCAAATATCTGGAGGAACTAAGGGAGCAAACCACGAGCGGATTTAGAAAAAGAAAGCTCCCAGCAGTGGGAAAAGTAGGTGCAAAGGCCCTGTGGTGACAACATGCTGGGATGTTAGTGGTAAAACAAGAGGACATCCAGTGCAGCTGGGGCAGAGTGAGTGAAGGGGGAAGCAGAAGGGGAGTCAGAGAGGACATGGGAGGG